CCCCCCCCCTGCCCCCGGTCGGCGGCGAGGCGGAGCGCTGCCTCCCCCTCCTCCCCCCTCGGCGCCTGTGGCCCGGCCGCGGCCGTCCCCTCCTGGTCCCCTCACACTCACACACACAGGCCGGGCATTGATGGTAATGTATGCGAGGAAACAGCAGAGACTCAGTGATGGGTAAATCCCTTCCTCCTCCTTTGGCCCCTGGCCCCGCGGGGTCTCCCCCTCCCCTCCGCCATGTTTGGGCCCCCTTCCCCGGCGGCCGGTAACGGTTGTTCGCTAACGTCTCTCTCTTTCTCTCGCTTTCTCTTTAGCTGTCACGACCGCAGGGGGGACTCGCAGCCCTACCAGGTACCTCAAGCGCCGGCCGCTAGGCCCGGGAGGAGGAGCAGGGGAGGAGAAGGGGGGGGGAGCTACTCCAGCGGAGGCTTCAGCGGGGGGGGGGGCGGCGGCGGCCGCGCGGGGAGGGAACGGGGCTCCGGCGCTCTTGTAAGGCCTGCGAGGCCGGGGCGAGGAGGAGAGGCCTAGTGCGACCCGTGTGGGGCTTGGGCCTAGGAGTCGGGGAGGGTATGGTACGAGGGGCGGGAGAGCGAGCCGGGGTCACTTGCAGTGGAGTGGAGATCCAGGGGGAGGTGAGTGTTTTCCTTTTAAAAACAAAAGGCATCTTGTTCGTCCCCCACCCCCCTCCCCAACTCCTTTCTTCGCCCCAAAACTGCTGCTGTGGACTGTAACCTGAGCAGGGCATGGTTTTAGACCCTGAATAACTGGGGTTGCCAGTAAGGCTTAATTTCTGCAGTTGCCAGCTGCTAGGCATGTTCAGAAACCATCAAATCTTTAAGCTGCTGACAATAACCTCAGTTTCCGTGAGGTGGTTACCGTATTCCTCTATTGTGTCTACTGAAAAAAAACAGTTCTTGGGGTGTGAATCTGGGGAATGCCATGTATTGTGATATTGCTCTCCTTAGGGCGCAGAGTGAAACTGTTTTCTTGCATTTCTGTGTATTTGTATCGCTGTGAAGTGCAATCTGACAGTCCAAGGCAGCTGTCAGTGACAGTTCATGTGAATGTAAACATTTGCCACTCAGAAGCGCTCACTGCAAACTCAAGCAGGTCAAAGTGAGGCAGAACATGTAATTTTTGGTAAATACTTCAAAATGAATCGTCACATTACATGTTTTGGGCGCCCAGAATTCTAGGATTTTTTTTATTACATCTGCTGCAGGGTTGCTAGTAGTGAAAAAACCTTGCAGAAGTTCAAGGTACAGTATGGAGGACGTACTCAAAGTTTACACTGATTCATTGTAACTTTGTCTTCATATTCTTAATACGAAGTGAAGACTTGTGCTTCTCCTAAAAGTGCAAAAGTACTGTGGCCCATTTACGGCTGAAAGTGTGTCGTCCAACAGTGAAAAGAGAGAAATTAGGTTTTTCTTAACAGCCAGTGTTATGTTGGATGTAATAGTGGGAGAAAATGGTTTGAGTTCTAATTACAGAACTTGTTGCTTTAATATAGGTAATTAAAATTGGAAAGACTAATGCTGATTGTTTAAATAGGGTATGAAAATTAATTAACTTTAAAAAGTGTTTTAGAAAGAGATCTAAAATTTAGAAATACCATTTCAACATCAACATGAGTTCTGTAACTTCATGCCTGATGTAAATGCCTATTCTGTTCTCTTGTGATCTGTTACAGGCTCTTAAGTACTCATCCAAGAGTCACCCCGGTGGTGGTGATCACCGTCATGACAAGATGCGAGACACCACAGATCCTTCACCACCAAATAAAATGTTGCGGCGCTCTGATAGCCCTGAAAACAAATATGGTGACAACACAGGGCACAGTAAAGCAAAAAGTGTGCATGCTCACAGAGTTAGAGAGAGGGATGGTGGTGAGTTATCTTTAATTAACCTTTATTTAAGCAATTACTAATTTCTCATAAATATTAAAATTTAGCTGTTATCACTCAGGTGATGAGAGTGTTACACTAAATGTGGCTTGTACTGTGCTTGGAAGACTGCAGTGAAACCAAACTGCAAGTTTCATTGGAAGCAATCATTTAGGCATTATAACACCTATTAATTTTCTTATTTTTACAGGTATGGTAGCTTTTCTTATAAGCACAAAGTTTAAATAAACTTCTCTCTTTTTTTTTAAACTGGTCACTTTAGACATACTGCAACATTGGATAATATGAAATAGCATTCTGGATTTTTCACTAACAAATACTAGCTGTTTTAGAGACACTTTTTTTAATAACTGTGTATTGTGGAATGTAGTTACGTGCTTCGTAGACTGAGCCCCATAAGAAATGAGAAAAAAAAGCTTCTTCATATTTAGCTGCTGTGTAGAACTCTTAACAAATGGTAATCAAAGGTAGTACTTCCTAGAGCCTTTCTTGGCAGAAGCTTAGAGAAGAATGTTCACAGTCAAGTCAGCCTTTTGTGTTTTTACAGGATATTGTAGACAGTGGTAATATCCCCAATATTTTTTAAATGATGTTATTTTCTATCCCCACTTCCTAGAAAAAGGAAAGAGTAGGATTTTCCTTTTAATAAAAAAATGGTAACAGCTGCGGTTTAGAAAACCCTGGTTACTGACTGAATTTGGAAGTGTGTTTTCTGTTTTGTAAGTACTGTATTTGGTCTCTGTATCGAGTTATAAAGTGAAGTATTCAAGTGGAGAACTTAGAGCTTTAAATCAGTGCTTCTTTGTTCTATACAAAGTTAACAACTTGATGTACAGATAGATTTATTGCTGCACTATTGTTACTTGTTATAATAGTTAAAGTAAAGTAAAGAAAATATCTGTAAGTACCTTTTAGGAAATCCTAGTTCCACACCAGAAATGTGTTTATGGTACCCGAGTGTTCTCACAAGTCCTATTTGTTTTTCCTTCTTTGGATTAATACAGAGGCTCTGTAGACCACTGGTAATGTGATATTATTGTGTAGGAGGATTACAAAAACGGGCATCTTTTGGTAGTACACTGATATTCCTTATATCCGATCATACTTGAAAGTATAGTAATCTCAGAATGAAATGCATGTCAAGGCCAGTAGGCTGCTATTCTGTGCTACTTTTCAGGACACACAGGTGTCCCCTCTTATTTCCTGTTCACCTGTGCAAAGATACTTGTCCTACGTACTCTTGCAATTCTGCTTACTTGTGCTACAGTCAGTAATTTTTTCTGCTTCAGTGGAACTACATTTAGTGGAGTTATGCATATGTGAAAACATCTGGAGGTTGAGGTTGTATATGGGGAGCGTATAGTTTATTTGTGTGTTGGAATTGTTTTTAAGGTAGGAAAGACATTCTGAAGTTCTCACTGAGTCCAGCTGGATTTAATAGTTGGGGAATGACCTGAAGCATGGATGTATACAGTACCGATGAAGGAAAATCAATTATTTGTAGTTTTGTAAGTGGAAGGAATGCTACCCCCCTGTACCTTCTCCTTCCCCAAGCTGTTAACACAGTGGAAAATTTCCTTTATTCTGATCTGAAAGTGGTCCTTTGCACATCATACGTTAATAGACCGGAAGAAGGAAATAGTCTTCAACAGTCTGAGGGAAATTACTAATTTTAAAAGATGAACATTTGTACTGTTTAATGGAAATAAGCAGGTTTTTTTTGTGTGTGTTGTTAGTAAGGTTAGTTTGGCCTCAATTTCAGCTTTTTAAAATATATTCAAAACAACCAAAGTTGTGCTACATCCTGCATATTGTTTGTAGTAAGCCAAAGCTGAGCAGATGTGAGCAGGAGGATATCAACTTTGTCTTTGATTTACTGAATCTTTCTGTCAGTATGAATTAAAGGTAGGTGTTAGAATGGAGGTGAAATGCTGTGGTATTATGGACATTTGCATATTGCTAATATGCAGAAGACATAATCCAATAATTTACCATGTTCTCTGTCTATTGAATTAGGCTGAGGTACTGTTATTGATACAGTATTCCCTTAGTTTTGCAATTACAGACATGCAGTGGAAAAAGAAAAAAAAATTAAAAAAAAAAAAAGCTAAAATTTTTCATTAAAGTCCTAATATGACTGAAGAGTATTAATTGGCTTTGATGCTACTGTAGTTTTCTGCCTTGTTTTCTTTTCTTTTTGCACTCTTCTGAGGGGAAAAAAAGTTTGTGTTTTTTTTTTTTTGTAATTGCTGTGCATTTCATTATTTTAAAATCAGTGGTGCTTGATTTGGAACTACTACAAAGGTGTTATTGCCTTCCTATGATCTAGCTGAACTTAACAAAACAAATCTCATTGAAAAATCTCCAGTATTTATTTCCCCAAACTGCATTAAAGTCCCAAACAATCTCTTTTTTCTCTCGTCCCTTAGAAAACAAAACAGAACAAAAATCTGGAGTATTACTACTGAACATAAAGCTGAATTAACCTAATCTCTCCCTTTCAAATCAACATTTTAAAAGTCACTCCTATGTATCTTGTAGTGATTTTTGCTCTGAAGTGAAACAGGAAGAGTCACTGGTGTAGCATGCTGATCATTTAGTCATGACTTGTTCACTTTTTTTGTGGTAAAGACAACTGGCTAAATATTGTTTAAAGATGTAAGTGTACACATGTAAAATGTAAGAGCTATAATTACGTTGATTGAAAATTAATAACTCAAAAATGGTTGAACCTCCCCCTGTGAATACCTTTGGTACCTGTATAAAGGTATTTGTTGTTACAGTTTATTTTTGTAATGCGGCAGAATCTTTTGTGTTTGTAGAACTGTAATCCATGGTAAGAAATGCAATTGCTTTCAATTAAGGTTTTAAAACGTGTTATGGCTAAGCCCTCCATACTGATACAGTGCAAACAAAGCATTTTTCAAAGTTGCTTACTGCATGGTTTCTGTGGAAAGAGACTACATACAGGGGCGATCGTTTCTCTGGAGAGAGACTTCCAAGTTTACCTTGGACTAAACACGGTAGAGTACTTGCAGGTACCATCCCTGGTTTCCAGAGAGTACTTGTACATCCAGCATATCAAAAAAACTGCAGTAACTTTGTTCTTGCTTTCAGGTCCTCGTGCATGGGGACATTGTCTCTGTATGCAAGTGTTTAAAACATAACGAACAGCTACCCCCCTCAGTGCGTTTCTTATTTATAGGTCAGCTGCTGTAGGCAAGCGTGGAGTTTGAAGAGATTAGGGGGTCTTACGAGACCAACTCAAGTGTGAAGTTCCTTAACAGTAACAAATAGGGACTTAAACCTAGCATTGTTTACAGGGAATAGAACTATGAAGGGCCTTGTAGATGTGGAAAAGTGTTTCCATTAAAGAAAAAAGGGAAGTACAAAGATTTGAGGGTTCTCATGCTTGAGGATGGACAGCCCAAGAGCATAGATAGTCCTTGTACGTCTTTTTAAATGCATAAATGAGGTGATACTGGTGTACAGGAAAGAAAACAAAGGGGTCAGATAAGTAGGGTAGCTTTGAGAATGCTGTAAGGCAGATACATATATTATTTAGGAGTAAAAATTGCAAGATGCAACCCTTGGTAAAAAAGGGAAAAGGATGTTTCTTTTTACTTAAATGTATGGAGCAGAATGACCGACTAAGATACATAGTACAACTTTGTGCAAAAAAAGTTGGTTCAGTTAAGCCACGTGTAGTCAGTTGTTTCTTACTGTGAAGAAGATACTGAGTGTTTTGCTACATTTATGCTTAAGAGACTTTGAAAATGTGCATTTGCTTCATGCCATGATCTTACTGAATTGTTTAAAAAAAACAAATGGAGAGTATTAATGTACACAGCATGAAATCTTTTGCTAGACTATGTGCTATGTAGGCTATTTTCATGAAATTTGATTATAACTTGAGATATTTGAATTCCAAAATGTAACTGAACTCATGTGAATATGTTTCTTCTGCAAGTTTTCTTTTAATTGGCAATTAAGAATATTGTCAATGACTACTGTTACTGACTGTAATACAGTTCTGAGATTCAAAATCCTGCTGGTATTGTAGACTGAATGGAATATTTTAAATCATGACTTCCTAGTTTTATCCAAGTAGTGGTGGGAGCTTCTGTCATGAAGTGTGTTGGCTTGCTTTGTCTCCGGTGGTTCCTGTAGGAGTTCAGAGTCCTCATAGCAAAGGGACAGCCAACAGCTGGAAACAGAGCTAGCTTTTCTTTCCTGTTTTAGCAACCCTCGCAGTAGAGGAGGACAAGAGGCTAACTGCTGATTAAATTAGCGTGATCATTGACCAGCAGTCAGAAATAAACAGGACCTTAGGGCAGGTACAAGAGAGTGGAAGCTGCCTGGGCAATGTGCGTTGGAAAGAGGAAATTGCAGGGTAGGTGGAAAGAGGGAAGTCTGAGAGTAATGAAGCATAGTGAAGGGTTGAGGAAGAAGCTAGAACATATTCTATTCAGTTACTATTAACTGCTGTTAATGTTAAAGTAATTATTCATTACTATGAAAACTGTTTCCTCACTGTATGGTCAAAGCTGGGATGAGAGAAGTCTGTGATCACAAATGAGAGTAGGCTCTCTATGAAACGTGCTTTGAGCACCCCCCGCAACATCCAAGTGTAAAAGAGGTGATTCACTCCCCTGTTCCTTGAATCTTGGCTGTTTGGATGGCTCTAAAGGATGTGGGGTTTGGTGGTGTGTTTTTTTTTTTAAGATAAATACAATTGCTTCCAGGGCCATTCACCTCTTAGGAGCTTTTCTCTGGATTAAAAAAAAAAGATGGAAAAAGTAGATTTCTGTGGTTTTCTAATTTTGATAAAAGCTTTCTTTCAAGTCTCACTAGTACCTTCAGTTGGGGGGGTTAATTTTAAGTTTGTTTTAAAAGTTTAGCTTTAGAAAGAAGTTTAAAAGTAGCTTTACATTTACTCAGTGTATTTGGCCATGTTTCTGAAGTAAGTTTTTGCTAGATCA